AATAATAATAATAATAATAATAATAATAATAATAATAATAATAATAATACGTTTCTATTTTATTATGCATTCTGAGAAGCGGATATGCTATTTAAATGGCAGCAATAAAATGTTTGTTTTATAAATATTTTAAGTTAAAAAAAAATCTATGTATATATTTTGGAATAAAAATTAATTTAATTAACTGAAGTAACATAAAAAGCTTTTGCCATTTAGACAAAATAAATAAATAAATAATTCTCAGCCTATTTTAATATCTCAGATATCAAGTCATAATCATTTTACCTTGTACATACATTTTCTTATATAATATTTTAATATTACATTCATATAAAAATATACATATTAAAAAATCATTTTCTTAAATAATACCTAAATTATATATATTTTTTTCTTTTTGCATTTCAACGAACACAATCATAAATGCATCATAAGATTCTAAGCTATCAAACCTTTTTATAACATAAATTATAATTTATCAAACTAAATTTTTTTTAATAAAATGCTAAAATAATCAACTATTATTATGATAATATTTTGATTAAAAATTATAAAAATATTAAAACTGTTCTTAATTTTCTTTTGAATTATGTTGAAATATCACAATTAAAAGAGAAGATTTTATATTCAGATGACAGAGGGTTCGTTTGGGACAGATTATAAGTGCGGGAGCGCCGCCGTACAGTTTAGTTTACGCATTTTATCAACTTATTTGAAATCTCGTTTTACACTAAAAACAAATCGCAAATCAAACCCCGCGACCCGCCCGCACGCTGCATTTCAGGATAAGTATTTTAATTTGAAAAACACAAGCTGTCCTAAACGCACCCTAATTTTGACTCATTTGATTGTTAATATTTTTTTCCAAATTAGAATAAAAATTCAATATATTGACAATCGGACAGTAAAATAATTCCAATTAAATTGTCACTTTAATTTTTTATTTTTATTTCCCCGACATAGATTGTTGCGGGGCCAACCATGCCCTGCCGATCCCTAGCTTTTTGTGGTCCATAAAAGTACAAAAAATATTGTTTATACACTCAGCAAGAGGCTCTGAGCTGTCCACGTTGCACTCTTCTTCACCACAAATTCTAATATTCCTTAGTCAGAACAATAATTAAACGTCATTCCCCACCACTCTTCTTCTTCTTCTTCACTTCAACGGGCTCTGAGTCTCTCTCAATCCATGTAAGATCCCCCCTCTCTCTCTCTATCTCTATCTCTCTCTCTCTCTGCATTTTTTATTTTCTTACAGTTTAAGCGAATGAGTGAAGAACCCTAAGTTTTACTGAGAGTATGAATGATCATTAATCTTCTTCTTCTTCTTCACTTCAACAGGATCTGA